TCATCATCGTCTCCTAATATCGCGTTCAAATAAGCTTCTTTTTCCGTTTGATTCAATCTAAGATAAAATTCATGCATTATTCATTTTTTCAATAAAATAACAGAAAGAAATTAGAATTTTTAAATAAAGCACTGAAAAAAAACCATTGATGTACATTTTGTTTTACCTTGCAAATTCAGTCCTCGATAATTCCTCCATGTCTCTACAGTATATTGCGTAGGCTAGCCAAACGGTTCCGTTAACTGTAGCACGTCTGTGCGTGCGAAGAACACGATTCGCACTGACTCACATCTATTCAGACCCTTCTTTAGATGTAAGGAGGGGAACTTTTTGTTTGCTTTTAAAACTCCAAACAGCTGACTGCCTGGCAGCCTTAGTAACCGCGCGCTACCTGCGTCGACTTCAAAAATCCTGTTTTCTCTTACCTTTGTACGAGCTACAGCAGGCCAATTTATTTACAAATGCTTCAGCCTCTCATTTTTTATGTTTATTTACTGAGATAAACGTTAAGGAAACCATTTCAAATGCATAAATATTGAAAAAATTGAAAAAATGAGAGGTGGGCACCGGGGTACCCGGGTGCGTCCGAACGTTGGTAAAGTTGGGTGCGTACACAAGGGTTAATGAGCATCCCAGATCATTACACAAAATCATTTTGATGTTAAGATGATATCATTTTGACATCAATGTCTTGAAATTGTCATGAAAATGGTATCGTTTGACGTCAAAATAACATTACTTTTATACCATTTGACGTCATTTTAATTTTTATATTATTTTATATTATTTTATATAACTTTGTATTCTATCTGCCCTAATGAAAAAATCCAGCTGAGATCTCAATTGAGAACTCAATTACAAAGTAATTACTTTGTCAAAATATTGTGAGAGAGAAAAAAGGAATATTCCCATATAGCACAAATGTTCAATAGATATCTTAAGAATGTTCTAAGAATATTCGAATATTCTTAGAACGTTTTTAAGATATCTATTGAACATTTATGGGTTCTCTCTCTTTTGTGAGCATGTTGTATATTAAAGTTTGATTACTTATACAACATTGTATTAATATTAATCGCATTGTGATTGTTGTTACATCCCAGCAAACACAGATATATAACAGTTACATTGCCGTAATAAAACGGAATGTAACATGCAATGTAACATGTATGTAGTAAATTATATAGACATTCGTTGTAATTTCTTACTCACACGTGTTACAGTTATATAACGTGAATATAACATAAAAATAATATGTGATTAAAAAGTTATATAAGAGTTATATGTTATTCGTTAGCGAATTAATACATATATTTGTTGAATTCCAACGATTTATTCATTAGTATGGTTCAGGTAAGTGATATTGTATGATTATTTTGTCTAAATAATAAAAAAAGCTAACATTTCATATTCCATATTATTTCAATTATTCGTGAAACTCGCGTGGTTTCGATCCTATGTCAGGCGGTCACGCTTTTTAGATCATGTTGTTGTTCAATGCTTGACTTCAAACGATCGTACAGGATCTGGTGATGCCGATATCTTTTGATAGATAATATTTACAATATACTGTTACATACTGTTATATCGTTCAAAAAATGTTATGACATATTTGTTGGTAAATATTTGACACGACAATCACAATACGATTAATATTGATACAATGTTGTATCAGTAATCAAATTTTAACCTATAACGTGCTCGCAAAAGAAAGAGAATATTCTTTTTTTCTTTCTCACAATATTTTGACAGAGTAAAGTTATGATTAGACTCCCTGATAGCAAAATGTCAGCAATATGCCGACAAATTGCTGGCAAAATCAATCATAGTATTGCAGCAAATTTGCAGCATGTATACTACCATTATGCTGGTATTATGTCGGCAAAGCATGCCAAAATTACTTGAGGGCAGAGTGCTGCAAAAACCGAACAAGACGTGTCGAGCAACGTGTGACGACAAATTTGCAGCAAACAGCGATCAAGACGTGCCGAGCAAGGCGTGATGGCAAATTTACGGCAAAAATCGAGCAAGATGTGCCGGCTATGAACAGGCCAAAACTACCCGAGTAGAACTTGCACCTTATGAGAATCTAGTCATTATATAATAAAGTTATATCCAACAGACACATATACATAGTTATTAGCTAGTATAACTAGACAGTGATGAACCAATAATGTAACACTTTTGCGAATAGCTATATGCAATATATTAACTAATAATAAGATAAAAGAAACAACATAATTATGGTAAAAAACCAAACTAGTTGCTAGGCAATATCACTTTTCCTAATGAGGATATAACATAAGTTACCTAATAGTTAGACAAAAAAAATATAACTAGTGATGTAGTTTATTTTCTGCATCAGGCATATCTCATCATCAGTAGATAGACTGTCCTAGTTAAAATTTTTAGTTCTATGAAATGCTATTTGTGTCTTTTAGAGATGACACCAGTGGCTTTTATTATTGAACTCTTCCTAATCATGTAGAACGTAAGTATCTCAGTGTATATTGTCTTGGAAAAAATTCCTTGCTCACATTGGATTTGA